CAGCTCCAACCATCTCTCACTCAGGCTTGTGCGGTGCTGCCACTGGTTCAGCTCATTCCCCTCCCCCGCTACCACTTTTCTAGGATGGTTGCGTACCACCTGCCAGGTGCCAATGTACCACAGGTGGTACCCGTACCATTGGTTGAAAAGCCTGGTTTAAGAGCACTAATTAAAAACACTTTTAGGGTGATAGTTACACCCGTTTTTTCATTTGTAATATATTGCCAACTACTTTGCCAGTAAATGTTGAGAGCATTATTTATAAATACTGACTATAACCTTTTTAAAAAACAGGCTTCCGATGACCAGCAGTTGGTGAGCAGTGATTCTCCCCATGATTTCTAATGCCTTCACAAGAGACATAGTTTTATCACTGGACAATGAAAACACATCTGGTTCAGGAAAGAGCCATTGAAGAACATAGAAAATTCCTTAAAAAATTGAATGTTGCTTAATTTCATTAGGAAGTAATTCTGTCATTTTAGTTATGCAGATCCTAAAATCACTGTTTTCCTTTTTTCCTCTTCTTCCCTGTATTCCAAAAGTCATTAATCTTACAAAATAGCATTTTATTTTGTAAAAGAAAATGGGGCATATCTATGCTGTTTGGGTTGCTACAAACCTGTCATTAATGGAATGATATTCTTTTTTTAAAAAAAAATCTAAATGTTTTAAAATAACTTACTGCATATTACACGAGTAGATAGCATAATTTCCAGGTTTTTTAAAAAATCGCACATTTGTAATTTGTGTTTGTAACACAAATGAATAGTAGCAAGGTTGGATAAGCTGCTCTGAAAGTATTAAAGGCTATATTTTATAATAGTACAATCCTAATTTTAATATTTTTTGAGAGATTTCAGTAGAACCTTTCTACATACACCCATGCAAATCATCACCATGACACCTTGCTTCCATCACACCCATATAGTACACTAATTTTTATGTCTTATTTTTAACGCTTCACCCCTCTTTTTGAGGATAAAAAGAGGGCTACTGTGTTTGCAATTGATTCTCATTCATAAACTACCTAATATACTCATTTTATATTCAATCCTCATTCATTTTTCATCTTCATTCTTAATTCTATCGGTTCTAGTTTTACCACACAAATATAACCTTTGTTTTTTCCTGTGAACAGAAACACACGCATCATGGCTTCTTTTGATGAACATTAATTTCTTGTAGGACACAAATTATATACTTGCTAGTACCTATATAGCATTTCTCCATTCTCCCATCTTTAAAAAACATGATACCAAGCTAGACAAATTCCTCTACTTATTCTAATTTTCATCTTGATGGATAATACATTTACATATATATTTTTACATACATATGTTTTACCCAATATTAAACAAAATTACTATATTGTGCTACCAAGGAGAGTAGTTTCTTTTCCCAACAACTACTATTTCAAAGGCTTTTGCTCTAAACTTTGAGAAGTGTCTCATCCATCATACTTACATTAACAGTTTATTTTAGATAACAAAACTACTTTAGCAGCATTGGTAAGAGAAATCAAAACATGTACTAGTTGTTTATAATAACTCATCCTTCAAAGCAGCAATTTAAAGAAACATGTTTGCACCCATTCTACTTGTAGAATTTGTTTTTATTAATATTTGTAGAACTCACTCATATTTACTTTTGGTACTTTATTGAAATAGACACTTTATCAAAAACATCAGCTATAAATTCAATTTACATATTCCCCACATATTTCCTTCAAATACAGTATACAATGAATGTTTTCACTGAAAAGGTCTTTTCCCTCCCCTGCCATCCTCCAGCTTTCTACCTGAAAACCTTGTATTGAATTCCATCCTAATTACAATAAATGCCTGTAGTAAAATATTTATTGGTTTGTAAGTTAACAATGCTGTATTATTAGAAAATTATTTTTGTATGTATGAAAATATTTTTCCAATAACAAGTTTCAGCATATGAATCAGATGTTTTCCTTGTTGCCTTCAAGTTGTTGACAAATGAGCAGGACTCACTGTTGTTATTCAGGTGGAGCATAATGACAAAAGTCTACGACAAGCAAAGTAATTGCAAGTGAGAAGTTTTAGAATTTAAATGTGTTTTAAAATTTCAAAATTACATCAGAATAAAGACACCACAGTTGAAGTACTCATAACATTCTCTTAAAGTATTTTGCAGCTGTGTATGCAAAGGCTCTCCACAGTTACTGTTCATGCACTTTTTTTTACAATATTTGGCATTAAAAAAACCCTGTAGCAGCAATTAGTACTTTACACAAGGAAATAAAATTTTATTCTGCAGTAAAATAACCCTTCTTTATAGCAGATTTCAAAATGTTTAGCATGTTGAACAGGAATGCTCACAATTACTAGGTTCACAGGACTTGATAACATATGCTAATACAAAAACAGCTAAACTTCAAAAGATTTTACACTAAGCCTAACTTTCAGAATCTGTCCTAATTTGACTTTTTAATATTGTGAACAAATATCATTCAGAAGATCTAGGAGGACTGATACATACCATTCAAGTAATGTCAAGCTTTGAACTACTAGTTTGTGCCTCCAACACTGGAAGTTTTTAAGAAGAGACTGGACAGCCATTTGTCTGAAATGGTATAGGGTTTCCTGCCTGAGCAGGGAGTTGGACTAGATGACCTCCAAGGTCCCTTCCAACATCATCATCATCATTTCTGTCCTTTAGGTTTTCCACTTAGCTTTCTATTGTTAGTTAAAACAATTAGGCAACAAAATATGATGGTAAATAGCATTTTGATGCTATTTGGATAATGACTCAGGTATTATTCTTCCCTTCAGTCAATTAAAATCATCCATTCCATATCAATATTTTTCTATGTGTACAACATGTAAAACTGCAATAGGACTGTATGGTGAGCTCCTCAGTAAATAACACGATCAGGGAATTTTACAAAAGGTATCAAAAAGATGGGGACAATCTATGAAAACTTCCCACTGAAAATGGAGCTTTGGGGAGGACAAATTGGATGGTTGAATCTCTATGAAATGCCTATGGAAAAACATGAACCCTTGCACTAAATGAGGACNGTCTTTCATAACCTTCTGCACATCTCACTTAATACTGTAGTACAGTAGACCTTTACAACATGACCACTGAATATCTAGTTACAGGAACTGCTATAGTAGTAGAAATGCAATGTTTTTCTCTTAAGGGTTATTTGTTTAGGGATTTAAGCTCTTAAAGCAAAGGTGAAACCAGGAAATAACTCACACATCTTGAACATCTTGTTCAAGACATGCATTTGGAACCAAAATGGAATAATGCCAGCTACTGCTCTTAAGTTACACAACAACAAAAATTAAAAATATATACGTAGTTGCAAATTTCTACAAAGAAATGCTTTTACAAACTTGAAACATAGTATTTATGTAAACAGGCTTGGGGAGCCAAATTATTTCCTAAAATAAATGTAGAATAAATTCTGGCTACATTTTGAATAGCTTCATAAAATACATGAAGTTTTAATATATATTTTAAGGAATGTTTCAAGATTTTTAAAGTAGGTGGACTGCAATGCCCGTGAAAATTGCACTCTACTGCTTTAAGCATTTTAGAAATTTCTGGCTCATTTACAAACAACCAGAATTGCAACAGTTTTTAGACTGAATAATTTCTTTAGTAACCAGTAACCATTGGATTTAAACTGGTAGATTATCTATTAACTTCTACCATGTAGTTTTTCTATGGCCTATCAATAGCTTTTAGAAAAAGTTGTGTTGTTCCATTAGTTGAAATACTGTTAGCTTACTAGGAAAGGGACTGTTAGTTCAAAGCTCTTGCTATATTGCTGTTTCATTATCCGCCTAGAAATAATGTTAGTATTTATGATTTCAAGTTAATACATAATTTGTTGAGCTCAAGACGTGAATACAATAAATATCAGTTTTAGTCCTGTTAAAAGCAGTGGGACTTACACAAGCACAGTGAGGAGAACTGGCTTTAAAACCCTCAAACATTTACCCTTTATAATTTTTTAAGTTATGGGAATAAGAATTAAAAGAGAGAGAAAATCTTCACCTTTTTTAAATATTGTAACTGTTTCACTCTTATCATGAAGACAGGCCAATAATACTATTATACATTACTAAAATATTATTGTGTTCAAAGAAAGTTACTCCCAGGAAAGTAAGTACAATATTGCAGCCTCAATATATAAAATACAGTTCTTAAAATACATGATGGCATTCTACTAAAGTGCCCAGTGCTATAAGGCTTTACTCTATATCTACCATCAATTCTTCATACAGAGCTGTTATATTATAAAGATGTTCATTTTGAACACACTTTAGTAGATGTATTTTTCTGTTTCTACACTTGTGCTATTGTAGTGTTTCTACCACCAATTTTACTAACTATCCTGTCAATTTTCATTGGCTGGAAATCTCTATAATGAAAACTTTGATTGGTTCAATACAAGCAATGTAATCTGGTTTTCTACAGCTGCAGCTTTTCCTGGCTAAGGAAAATAAAAGTCTGTGAAAAAATAATGGCTGAGTGCATGGACTTAAATCTCTCATCCACTAAAAATTATTTTCTAATATTCTGATTAAAAAAATAGCAGTTGCCCAGCCCTGCCTGGATTTGAAACCTTGAGGAGATTTTACATTCCTTATAAAGTATAATAGTAACTGTGCCTTTAGCTGAATATTTAAATCAAGTCCAAATTTCAAGTAATGACCTCCGGTTAGAGTGTATAAGACAAATATTATGAGCTGTATGTAAATTTATGTGCAAATGATTTTCCATTCCAGCCAATATTCAACTGGAGGAAAGATCAGTTCTTAGTGCAACCATAGTTTTATCAATTCTCACTACAAAAAAATGAGAGAGCGGCTGGATAGACACTTTTGCTCCATAGCGTGTACAACAAGAACCAATTACTATACAGAAAGTTACTCTTACAATAAATATTCTTTAAAAAGCCGCCGCGTAGTAATATGGTAACTGTTACATTACAAAAAACCTGGGTGTGTGTGTGGAGGTTATTTGATCTGGATCATCTCCTGAAGAAACGGTATTCTGAATGTGCCCGTGCACAACTGGTCAGACCACATTGGAAGTTCATGCTGCAAAGGAGTCCTTCGTGGATAGAAGGTGTAATCATGGTCATAGTTCAGTAGGCAACTCAATGAAGCCATGTAGATATCAGCAAAGCGAGACAAGCGCCTCAAGAAATAGGTGGGGTTTTGATCAGTCCTGAATAAGCTTCCGAACCGAGAGTTGAAGAAATTCCTGGTCATTTCTCTGAGGAGAAAAGGGGAGGGGGAAACATTTAGAACAATCAGTGCATTACGTGCCATGAAAAACCCAAAGGTGCTTTTTCAAAAGGCTTTCTTGGGTTTTTTCCTAGAAAATATTTCACTTCTCATCCAAGAAGCTTCTTCAGTTCTTCAGCGACATGTTTTCAAGGAAAAATACCAAAAAATTCCAGTTGCCTTTTGAAAAAGCAGCTTTGGGACATCCATGACCTGGATTATTGAGAATCTCCATAGACATACCTTGAAAGATTTATTTTGGATCAGAGATATTTAGAATGTATAGGACAGATTTGTTTTTATATCAATAAGGCCTCAAAATCAAAGCTGTTCACTGAAGAAAGGCCACTCAAGAAAGGAGAAATATATATATATATACTTTTACCATATTTTCATTTATGCCCCATCTTTCCATGGGGAATTCAATGTAGGGTACATGGGGTCTCTCCTTATTTCTCCCCTACAACCACCATCCTCTGAGGTTTGTGGACAGAGGGGGTGCAAAATAAGTTAGTGAATTACATAGTTGAATGTGGATTGGAAACTTTAACAATGACCTACCCTCGGATGGCTTAATTTCATATCTTACTCTGTGATATAATTTCTCACAAGCAAAAGCATCATGTAACCAAAAGCAAAGCTATACTCAATGCTCAATCACCTATCAAGAATAGGTGAGCTATATGACAAGTGAGATGGAGATAGACAGAGCCAGAAGACATACACATTTGAGTTATTGTGTGTTTATGCCACAGAGTGCCCAGGGTCACACTCTTCGAGTTGGGTGGCCTTGAAAATAAATACTCTGCAAGCAAGCTCCCAGATCCTCATAGTTGTTACTTAAATTACATCAGATATGTTTTTGTAGTCTTATAATTAATGTTACGAGAGACAGAACTAAAAATAAAAATGTAGTTAACATTTTTAAGAGTAAACATTCAGAATTCAATGGAGCTGAATTTCCTATACATTAATTATTGATATTAACAAAATTATTAGTAAAATGAAGCAAGTAAGGACTAATTTTATAACAAATTAATATATCGGGTCAATTTTTTAAAATTTAGAATGTACCATATATGTTTACAAATAATCCAAGAATAACTCCCAAAATTGAGTTCAGTTTATTCTTGGATAAACTTATACACAAGTATCCAATTTTAATATTTTAATATTTACCGCATTTCCTTTCTTTCCTTTTTCCACTCATTTAATATCATTTGGCAATCAGGATTCTTGTGAATCTGAAATGACATGATATAAATCATATATATTTGTGAGTTTTGAAATAGACTGTATTTGGACACATTTGTAAGTATAACAGATGGGCAGGACAGATTGAATAAGAAACATGAAGATAGGTTTTATTTTAAAAAAATTAGCCATATCACAAGCATACAGTGAAAGCAATATACACGTATGTTTGCATTTTAATACCAGCACCGTGATTTGAACTTTATTATCATCACTAGGGCAAAAGAACATTAGTTAAAGATCCCTCTAATTGTTAAGTGGGCATAGAACTGGAAACAAAAGGTTAATCTCCTATCTAGCCCATCTAGAGTTTACATGCATCAATTCTAATGGTTTCTATACTGTGTATTTTTATTTGGAATACCAGCAATGGAGAAAAAAACAACAGAGGTGGGGATGAAAAGAATGGAAAAAAGTAAAGAACAAACCTGCATATGTTCCAGTAATCCAGTGAGGGTTTGCAGCCAGGTCATAGTCTGAATATATTGCTCAGTATTCATGATCTTAATCTCTCTTCGTAATTCTGGAATAATTGCCCCTGTTCGCCAGCCGTGTTTTAAGGTCAAATCCTTTTTTGCCAACAATGATCGCAAAAAAAGAAAGAAAGAAAGAAAAGAAAACCATTTGTATTAATTTCATTTAAAGCATACTTTCTATTCTTTCAGGTTAGATGCTATCTGAAGATATCTATACTTTTACATAAATGGATCTTAGTTATATCGTCATGCAATAATTAAAAGTGTAAAACACACCCATTCTAAACCAGGTAACCAGACTTGAGGGCAAGGGGTAAATAAATAAAGCACAAATAATCAGATATTGTTTGGTCAGAAGAAAAAGAGTGAGTAAATTAGAGAAAGGAGTTTAAGATCAGAAAATGGTAAAATATTAACAGGACCTGCATTAAATAAATCAGGAAGATATTTTTCTCTTGCAAGTTTGGTTAGCAAAATTTAACAATATAAAAACAGTATAATCTGTACCGGCAGGTGCAGAGAAGGTTATAAGTTTGGAACTCTGAGCTCTATTTCAATTATTATTGCAGAAAGTGACTGCTACTAGGAAGAAACAGGCTCCTGAAAGCTGTATAAAACAAATTCAAAAAATATACATAGCAGTAAGATAAGAGCCTTATGTTTTTTTTCTGAAGACCAGACTAATCCTATTCAAGACTTTTCCCCACTTTTATTGCAAAAATGTGGTCCTTTGCCCTTTCTAATTTTTAAAGTAGACCTCTACTATAATTAATTACATAATATATAGCTCATTCTTCTGTATCACACCAGCTTCATTTAAAAAAAATACATGGGGAAGAAAGTACTTACAGCTAGATCACTGTAAATATGATCACCAAAATATAAGACTTTGGAACCTCGCCAACCAGTCAGTTTCAGAAATTCATACAAGTTACCCTAAAAGAAAGATTTGGGAGAAGGGAAGTAGTTGCCAGCCAAATTTTGTTACTGTTGATCTAGAAATCTGATTTCAATGTTCTCATTAATGCAAAATGTCCTCTAATCTATTAGCCCTGAAATTACATTGGTCTTGTTGTTATGGGTAAGATTGCCTAAATTAAGCTTCTCTCCTTTTTAAGTAATGCTTTAAGGAATATTCTTAAGATCAATTTTGGGGACAGAGGAAAATAAGAAATATAACTGTTGTCTAGACTAACTAGACAATATTTTTAAACTATTTTGTCTTGCACACGCAGTTCATGAAACTCTGTAGAAGACAAGCTGTTCAATTCACATGGTACAATTTGAAGTGGTAACAGATTTCTGGGGTCTCTGGTCTTTTCCAGACCTTTGAATAGAATTTCAGAGACTTATCCTATGACAATGCCAAAGGCTGAATTTATGAAAATGAAAGCAATTAATTCACAGTTTGTGTTATTCAAGCTTTCACTGAGCATTAGTAATTCTGGACTTACTGTTTTAATTTACAAGCCATTGTATTACAGTTCACGTTGATCACAGGAAAATTCAGCATAGCAAATCAGATCAATAATCTCGGTACTGGTTAAAATAAGTAACTAGTATGTTTAACAGTATCCAAACAGAAGATTTCTCCAATCTGAGGTCTGAATTAGAAATCTTTTTAAGGTAACGGAGTTCATTCGCTGAGCTACAGTCCTTTTTCCACGATTCATATTGTTACAATTTAAAATGAATAAAATAAAATAATTTCCTTTAGAAACAGCAAGGAAAATCCAATATGATAGGGAATTAAATTAGTTTCATTTATTGCTATCTCTTTTATCTTTATGTTTCACAATGCATTATTTATTTATTTGTTTTTATCCCGTCTTTATTATTTTTACAAATAAATATCTAGTCAACATAGTCATTGTAACAATGTAGCATAAATAAGATTGCATACATATAACATAAAGTACCTGCAAATATGAAATAACCATTGTTTCAATTGTTTAGATATTCTGTTTTACTTTAGCATGATTGCTAGCTGGTTTGAAAATACAGGTACATTTTAAACATAAAAAATAAGAAATAAGAAAAGAAAAAATAAGATACAACAATAATACCTGCTTGTAAATCTGGCCTTTCTGCAATTCATGAATTTTGTCCCAAAGCAAAACACCCCTTTCAGTCACTTTGCGGAAAGGTCTAAAAAAAAGAAAGGAAAAAAAATCAGCAATTGGGGCCAGCTTCACAGTAAAAAAAAGTTGTTGTTTTTTTAAAAAGCAGAAAGCAGCTTAAAGGGGCTGGAGCAGGTCAAAACACCCCTTTGCGCAGCGCTCATGGGCTGTATGGTGCTTGCTCTGCATGATGAAAAAGGGGAGGAGTTAAAGCAGCCCTGTCCCTCAGTCAGAATATGCAAAAACATTATCCTTTTGCAATGCTCCTTGGACATATGGGGTTGACTTAGCACTACGAAAACTGGGAAAGAAAGCAATCCCGTCCCTGAGCTGAAGTATATACAAACAGCACTTTACATTATGCTTCTAGTCTGTATGGAGCTGGCTTAGCACTGGGGAAAGGGAGGGAGCCTAAAGAAGCCCCTCCCTACTCCTGCTTTTGGCTTTTTTCCTTTTTTGCTACATGAACCCAGCCCCATATAGCCCAGCCGCCCAGCCAGGTGTATCTCATCAACAACAGGAGCAAGAAGATGGTGGTGAATGTCATCTGAGGTAATGGAGCACTGAGTAGCAGGAGGCTAGAAGGACATAGATGGGAGGGGAGATAAGTGGGTGCAGGAAGTTGCAGCTTCCATGAGGTTGTGTAGGTGAAGGTGAAGTGGCAAGCGCCTGAATTTTAATCATGTCACCACAGAGGGGCTGGAACAGCCATTCACTTCAGGCAGAGGTCATAAGTCCCTTTGTTCAATGCTATTGTAATTTCAAATGGTCACTGAACAACTAATTGTACGTCAAGGACTACCTGTAGTTGCCAAAACACCAATCTAAGGTAACCAGAGATCTGCAATTTTCTGATAAGGAGATTAAGCTGAAGAAAAAATAGGCATGAGAAGTAAATACTGTACACTAGCTACCACTTTGACCTATTGAGCATTGGGTCTGAAATATTAGCAGGATAACTGAAAATATGATTTTAATTTTCCAAGTAAGTGCATCAGAAATCCAACTGGTAAGATTAAGGTATCACTTCATGCTATCTTGCTCAGCTTGGCGCTATGCATCTGCATTGGACTTCAATTGATGCATCCCAAAACCCATTCCTATGAGAAATATCTGAAAGGTTTTAGTTTAGAACAGGATAACTAGAACCAAAGTTAACCAGGAGAAATTCCTGTTTCTCTTCTCACTCACTTGCCTAGCTTTGTCTGTAACCTATCACATTGGGAGTTATGCAGATGGACTCTGCAGCAGAACCCTAAGCTTCTCCAGCTCCTGTCCTGATACTGAGATATACATACACACACACACACACACACACACACACATATCAGCTACTCTTCTAACGGCAGAGAACATAGCAGCTCAAACGCAAGTTCTGAGCCTGGGGACAATACAGGATAAATAAATCTTGGGCAATAGCCATTTTCAGAAGGGTTTCTCTGTCCCACTGCAATACTTGAGCGAATTCATCACGACAAAGGCCATCTTACAGATATTTATAACTCAGCAGCAAGGAACTCACCTTCTCTTATCATTGAAAAAGTTTGGCTTCTCTGCCTGGACAATGACTACATCAAAGAGATCTCTCCAATCTTTTCCAACTATGAACTTCATGCCTCTGTCCCTATAAAAAGTAATCCAACATTTAATAACAGAAGTACAACTAGTGTGAATTTTTAAAAATGACAACTCATGGTTAATTTTAAGATGAAATTTTTGACAGGTTTATGCTCAAAGAAACCACCTACACAAAGCTGCTAGGACTATTTGTGATCAGGAACATCTTCTTTCCATGAGCTGCCAGCTTTGCTAACACAGCACGTGTCTGCTCAGCATAACAAATGTATTTCTCTAGAAAACAGAGAACAAGATAAGGGGAAAAAATCATAAACGGTTCTAATTGAATGAATGTTTATAGCAAAGTCTTCTCTTTTTTGCATAAGTCATGTCATCCCAAATTCAGCATTACCACTAAAAACAAGCCATCTTGGAGGTTCTTTGATGAAAAAACTGCAATGAAAAGCCTACTCATATAGTAAATGTTTAACTATTATTAGGGCTACTTAAGACAAGCAGTAGTATTGAAGAGCCCATACCTTTGGGAATGCTCCACATAGTTGCCACAACACTGGAGACTTTTAGTTCACACACACTGGACCATGGCAACAATATATGACCTTGATGGTAGCTGACTGGATTACAAGCATTGCAGACATATGAACCAATGCATGGAAATAGCCTTTTTATGGAAACTGGCATCACTGCATGTAGAATTTGATCTATTTTATTTGGCATTACCTTCCCATTTTTTTCAGACTGGTTCCTATAAACAAAAGTCAGTTCTTAAGAAAACTACCTAGATGCACCATGTAGATGAACTGATGATAGTGTAAAATTAATCGTTGCTGAAAGATGGTCCGATCATAAGATTCCAGAGACATATTCAGAAAGCTCTAAGGTTTTGACCTGGCATAGAAAATTGATTTCAGAACAAATCTTAAATAAAGAACGTAAGCTTTACCAAAATGTAAACTTGTGACATCTCAAGAGTTGTTGCTAATAATCAGACATGTATAAATATATCAGCCTGCAAGAACTGGCTTTTCTAGACCCTGACATAATATGTGATATTTCTTATCTTACAGGTAAAAATTCTTACATTCTTAACTTAAACAGTTTAAGAATACTTCATGTGCCAAGATTTTAAAATTCTTAAATATCTAAGCATCTTCATATGAATGCAAGTTGAATTAGCATGCAAGTTGAATTACAAATTATTTACTTTGGGTTTGCCACATTTGCATCACAGAAGGCAATTTGTTTCAGTTATTGCCTACATGCTACATACTATTATGAAAAGATTACAGAGTCTGTTCGTTATCACTGTAGGACCTCTTACAGAAGTCAGTTTTGAATACAGTTAAAAATAAACTGCAACCAGAAGTTTTGGACAAAGATGAAATTGAACTTGCTAAATTATTTAACTTCCATTAACAAACCAAAGCATATTAGGCAAGAGTCTATTTTTAGGGAAGGATTATGGAAGCAAAGGTTTGATAATCTTTTCAGATTCACTTTTATTTTTGAAAAACAAATTACCTCAAACTTTACAAGAAGTAGCAATATGATTCTAAAAATGCCATGATTTAGATACCGAAATCTTCCAAGGTATTGTATATGCACCATGAAATCTTGGCAATTCATTTTTAAATAAAAATAATGCAAATGATTTTCAGGTGCCAGTGGGGTAATTCAAAGGTCAGAGAATTAACAGCAATAATATAAAATCCATCAATAGAGGAAAAAAGTGATCTCTTCAAAAAAAATTCACTTATGCTCACCAATATCTGCTTCAATTGCACGGTACATTATCCCTTTGATGTGTACATCTCTGATTGAATCCTGTTAGGAAAATGAGAATGAGATATTTTTCTATATAAATAGAGTTATATCTGATGGGCAAAGATATTAATTAGGATCTTCTACTATATTTCTATAATTATTTTAGTTGCTGATAAATTGCTGGGAGCATAGCAAGACAAGGTATTAGCAAACCTGTGACTACCAAGACTGAGGATTATCCAAGAAAATAATTATTCACTCAGGAATTATTAGTAATATCATCCAGTTTCCTACTGCTCAACTTTATGATTAGAAAATAGATTGGTTTCAACCTTGCATTATATTACAGATTAGTAATTTTCCCAAATAAAACCCCAAATGGTTTGCACACACTAAGCATAAACCATGTTTTAGAAACCATAATATCTGGGCTCACATAAACAGGCAAGATGATGTTCACATGCTGTGTGAACATTCAGAATAAGTAATTATCCATATCAAAGTCAAAATTTTATATTTGTTGAATTCGTTCATATCATAGCAATTTGCTCAAATTATGTTAACACAACTCTCATAAATTCAAAATTTCAAAACTTGTGTGTTAACAAACCAAGTTCATAAATCATTGGCTAGATCCTGTTTACATTTTTAATGTAGTTTAATGCCAAAATGAGCCATTTTCTAAGAGAAATTGAATTCTGATGTATAAATTATGTAAGTTAAGTTCATATATAGTTCCTCACTATGAATAATTCTATTCTGCTAATCATGGGAAGTTGAGTAAGATACTAAATGCCTATAAAAGTCTATCTACCTCCTTCACCTTCCAGTCAATCCCAAATTCATGCAAATAAGGAGATCCATATGTGTTTGGTCAAACATACAGTGACCTTGTCCCTTCAGCACTTTCTCCACATGTTTCTGACATACAGTTACCTGGTCAAAGTTTTCACTCAATTTTTAAGCTTTTATTTAGATACTGCTCACACATTTCCAAGGATATTTTTACAACCATGAAATCCAGAAACTTTGTTTCTAAAGACCCAAAGCTTGTTTTCAGTAACTAGCTGTATCGACAGGAAAATGAAGTATCTAAATATCTAAAAGATATCTAAAAATGAGCTAAAGCTGAATGAAGCAAACATCTTTCATACTTTAAAACTAATAGCCAAGAAGAACAAGCTATAAGTTTTTCTCTGGGTCATAATATTTTAATATAATGGAATTACCCCTTTTTTATAGTAATGGTTTTTTTATTGTAGACCTGAAGGATTATGGCTCCTAACAATTATAAAATAATCATATGACATATGTATCAAGAAATAGGGTCCCATTCCCAAAAAATGGGTATTATGGGAATTGAAGTAGGCATCAGGCTGGGGAAAATGTTATATGGATGACTGTCACACTGGGATAGCCCAATACCTTCACATCTTTGTAGAGGTGCACCGGCTCATAGTCAATATTGTTCTTCAGAAAATACTCATTCACACAAGACAGGAGAGTCATCTCAGGCAAGGAAAAGATATCCATGAACTGTTTCATAGTGTGACCTTGTGAACTCTGTAACCAAAGATACCACATTCATATATGTGCTATAAAACAATATCACATATTTCAGAAAGTGTTAATAATGCTTTCAATCGGCCTACAAGCAACAAAGAGAAAGATGACATGTAATAACTTCTCTTAGTCTGGGCCAGTTACAATTTAGTCAGATTAGCAGATACAAAAGACAACAAATTTTTGGTACCATCTCCAATGAATATACAATTGGTTCTATCACTGCTGTCCTTAGAAAGATCTTTAAACCCATTTTATTGAAAGATGTTGTGCTAGCTTTTAAACTGTTTACACCTAAATTTTATAAACTGGTAGTGACGGGTTCCAAGGTACCCATGGGTATTTTTCTTGCCATCCCTCAGGCTCTGTCCCTCCTCTCTTTTTACATTAAAAAGTAAAAACTAAGCAGTGAAACTGGGTCATTGCAAAACTAAGTTTCCAGCACAAATTTTACTTCCAAGCCCAAGAGGCTGCAAATAGGCTCCTTAATTTTTCTTAGAGCATAATAATAAACAACTACATTCCATCACTTTGTTGGGAAGGGACCAGTAACATCTATGGGTAGGAGAAGAAAAAGTTCAAGATGGTGGCTATGGTCGTGTAGTGAAGGTCACCTTCTTGACTTTTAAAAATCTCCTATTGACAGTTCTGGTGTGTAAAGGTAATACAAGGAGATAGGAAGCACTCTGTTGGAAGACGCAGGACATTTAATTGGATGGCAGGCACTATTCTGCAAACTGGTCCTTTACATTTCTCTTGTGGCATCCATTTAATGGTGCAGCAAGCCTTCTGAGACACTTGGCAAAAATGCCCACAGCACACTCAAATTTGAATTGTAGCCACTAGCCCAGGGGTAGGCAACCTTGGCTCTTTTATGACTCGTGGACTTCAACTCCCAGAATTCCTGAGACAGCATGGCTCAGCTTGAAAACCTTTCCCTTTCGCCTCAGCATGGCTGTCTCAGGAATTCTGGGAGTTGAAGTCCACGAGTCATAAAAGAGCCAAGGTTGCCTACCCCTGCACTAGCCTATAAGAATTGGAGAACCCTAGTTTCTGTTTTAAAGGATTTTGTCCTGGATTCTAAATATGCTTTAGATTACTGCTTTAATTTGAAATCTCAAAAATCTCCTCTGCCTTGCAGAAAAACAGAAGTAGTGAGACACCTAGTTGTAAGTTAGTATTCTACAAAAGATGCAGAAGAAAAACATACTTATATGAATTCAAATTTCCATGTAACAGAAAATGACTCTTAGTTTACTTTCTTTTTTATAATACCTCTAACTCTCAACATCATATATCAAAATACAAACTAATATAAAAGGGAAAGGAAATGACAAAACACATTAAAAAGTGTCAGAAAAAAGTTTTACCTTTCCATAGAAGTCGCTCATTTGTTCCAAAGGCACATGGGAACCATCATACATAGCAATTACTTCTTCATCTGGTACAACATTCAATCCTCTGATAATAACAGCAGTGATATTAATGCAAAAGCCAAGCAGGTTTTACCAATTAACAGGCATATATACAATTTTCTAGCCTGCCATAAGCAATATGCTACTATTCAGAACAATTTTAAATTCTCTATATTGCTATTTGGGATAAACAAATTATCAAAACAAACCTCAGTAATTGGTGATTCCTGAGAACATTAGGGAAAGCCCTACTGCAGGGGTAGTCAACCTTGGCTCTTTTATGACTCGTGGACTTCAACTCCCAGAATTCCTGAGCCAGCTAAGCCAGCTAAGCTGGCTCAGGAATTCTGGGAATTGAAGTCCACGAGTCATAAAAGAGCCAAGGTTGACTACCCCTGCCCTACTGCATGTTCCTTGAACTGAAATAGCTTACTGTCATAGTTCACAGGTGAGTTTTCTTTATGATAATGTGATCTGTACTGAAATTGTTCCTGAAATTTGTGAGAAGACCAGATGAGTAGTTTCTGATTCTGCAACTGTTTTCCTCCCCCCCCTTTTAAATTGTTAATATTTTAAATGTATTGCTTTTCATGAATAGTTAATATGGTGCAATCCACTTTGAGATGCTTTTATTTAAGAAACAGTCCAAAGTATATTAAGTAAAATAACAGATTCTTATTATCCTCAGTAGTAGCATAATACTGGAAGGCAGGAGTGCTACTCCTAGCTGGTAGATTAAGATGAAGTACCAGAAACGTAAAATGTAATTTAGATTATCTATAATAGTGACAACATTTTAACATCTGGTGATGGCACACTTTCTTTTACTGTACTATTATCTTCAGGGACCAGAGACAAAAGAGAGCAGACAATAACATGATGAAGTTGTGGAAATAAGTGGATCTAAATCAGTGTTTCTCAACCTTGACAATTTTAAGGTATGTGGACTTCAACTCCCAGAATTCCACAACCAGCAATGCTGGCTGTGGAATTCTGGGAGTTGAAGTCTACATGCCTTAAAATTGTCAAGGTTGAGAAACACTGATCTAAATGATTCCACATTTGGGGGAATTTCTCATTATTTTGCTCCCCCCCCCCAATCCTCTAGTATTATTTTAGGTGTGTTAAACCTATCCAAAGACTTAATGCACTTTGCAGCCTTCGTTTCATGACAAAAATTAGCCACCAGTGTTTGAGGACATGACAATTTGTTAAATGAAGGGTTTTAATTTCAAGAAACTATTGTGGATGACATTCAGCCTGCAAAGTACCCCCACGCCTGTTTAATTCATGGGTTTTCCAAAGGTCATTACAAAGTGGCAAATGAGAATTAATCTTCTCCCCAGTAGGTATCCTGGATGAGTAACTGCTCAAAGACTGAAGGCAACGCAATGCAAAATATATCTAAATAGAATTAAGCCCTTTATGAATCCAGTGGCTTTACTTCTAATTATTATTATTATTTATTATTTATTTCATTTATACCCCGCCCTTCTCCCAGAGGACTCAGGGCGGCTTACAGCCAGTTTAAAACAATCCCACATAAATACCAAATACAAATCTAAAATAATTAAAAATAAATATTTGAATTGGCCGCTCTATTAAAATTTTGTTAAAACCAATTAAAATACCCCTAGGCCAGTCCTGCCTGCTGAAACAGCCAAGTCTTGAGGGCGCGGCGGAAGGAGGGGAGATCCGGNAGAGGGTGGGCGCTCCGACAGAGAAGGCTCTCCCCCTGGGGGTCGCCAACCGACACTGTCTGGTTGGCGGCACCCTGAGGAGGCCCTCTCTGTGGGAGCGTATCGGCCGGTGGGAGGTAATCTGTGGCAGAAGGCGGTCTCGGAGGTAACCAGGTCCGATGCCATGGCGCGCTTTAAAGGTAATAATCAGCACCTTGAAGCGCACTCGGAAGGCCACAGGCAGCCAGTGCAGCTCACGCAGCAGCGGCGTTACCTGGGAGCGACGAGTCACTCCCATCACCGCCCGCGCGGCCGCATTCCGGACTAACTGGAGCCTCCGAGTGCTCCTCAAGGGGAGCCCCATGTAGAGAGCATTACAGTAGTCCAGGCGGGAGGTAACAAGAGCATGGGTGACTGTGCGCAAAGTACAAGATATTAAGTTTTAAATGCTAGGGTAACTTTTTCAGTTAGCATCTTCCATCTTGTGGGTCTTTGATTCCTCTAAATCTTTGAAGACCATACTAGTTAGGAAGCAAACATTTTTGCACACCAGTTTAGGTCAAATATCTCTAGGTTAAAACTTTTAGCTTAAAACACTGTAGATTAAATATAAATTTTCTTTATTATAAAAAAAATATCTAGCATTATAGCATGCTACTAATTTTTGTTTAGTAAATTCAATAGTTAGTTTATATCCCAATTTTTAAAATGCAGGAATGTAGCCTAATAGAAGATAATTGTTTCAGAGAGATGCAACTGGGTTTTTAAACATTTTCAGAAATTGAACAGACTGAATAATCAGTAAGACTGCAGAATTAACATTATTCTTATATCTGAATTTTTGCTGAGCACAAACAGAATGGTGATTCATGCTGAAAAATATTTAGAATCAGTCTTGCTAGCAAAACTGATTGCAAACAGTGGAATATTTTTAGCAACCTGCCAGTACGATTTAGCAGCTGGAAGCAAGAACATTAGTCAGCTAATCCACTCCAGCTAAAGAATATATATTTAAAAATGGTTTTCAAATCCTATCATTTGAAGTACTACAATCTGTATTTTTTGGATGTAATGGGAAGAATGGTTAAAGAATGACTACAGATGGCATTCTGGATTGTTCCACCATTAATGCAGAAGGTAGAACAAAGTGAAAGTCAAAGTGCTACATAGAGAACACAGTTGATGATGACTATTTGATGATAGTCACACAAGGCAGGAGTTCATTCTACTCTTTTATTGCTATTATAGTGAATTACAGATACCCAGAAGAAAAAATGCTTCCTGTCTCACCTGTACACAGTTCCGAGTTGAATGTAGTGAAAAGCATCAATCTTCATTAATAATGCCTTTAAAGCAAGAAAAGTTACAGGCTAAACTTATAAATCACCCTAAACAGTTTTGATTAAATTTCAGAGAATTTTTTTTTGCCATTACTACTACATATTTTAAAGATATACTTCGGTTAATCAGTATCTACAATTAAATATTATGATCAGAAATCTTAGAAGAGTTGTATAACAGCAACCGATCAGGGTTAATATTCATTGATAAACATCTTTACTAATTTTATAGAAAATTAGAGTCAGAGGCAGCTAAATGACCCATGGATATATTCATCAATTCACATTTACATGGTTATTCATCTTCATTTAGAACTCAAGGGTGCTGTTCTTGAGTTCAGTTGACAAAAGGAAACTCCATTTGATCCTGGTAATCACAACCCTGCTATGATTTACAGAGATTTAAAATGAAATATTAAACATGCTCCTATTATTTATGTTTGGCAAGCAGATTTTGGAGCATTGAGAAAGAGAACTGTCAATTTCACTTCTGTTTTGATTGTGAAAGATACAATTTGGTTATGAGCAGCTCTTCCCCCCCCCAAAAAAATATTACACATCTAAAATTACATATTTTATGGTTTGATTAGAGATAGGAAGGCAAAGGAGGGGATTATAGAATTATATACAACTGTGGCAGACAAAAGGAGAAAATCAAGGTTTGTTTTATTGTACTTCATCTTAGTCCAAAGGTTAACGCTTTATGTCCCCCTCATACCTTTTTATATCTTTTGTTCCTATGCCTTCTTTTACATTTTTATTGACTATATTCTTTCCACATCCCTTACATTATATGACCCTACTAAAGATTGATACAAATCTCTCTACTGGAGTAAGCAACTGAGACTGAAAAAAATGTTCTTCTGCCATTTTAAAGCCAACTTCCTTTTCCTGTGAAGTCTCAAAAATAAAGAAGCATTTTAACTAGGGACAATGGATTAAGTACTCTGGCACCTTTCCACTTCCTGAACCTGAACAGGATGCAAAATTGTGTGATGTAGCTGCAGTAACACTTGAGACAAGGTAACCAAGCAATCTGCTGAACTGTCATTCTCTCTGGAGCCAGAAAAGGGTGGATGATTTGTAATCTGAGATTACAAATTGCAGACCTTGAGTTCTTCCTAATAATTGTTTATCTGGTAATATTTTATATATTACTGTAAGGTATATGCTGTAAGGTAACTTTGATTTTGAAGAAGACTGAGAATACCACAGACAGCAAAAAGTACAAACCAATATATAATTGAGCAAATCAGCCCAGAGTTCTGAATCAAAGCACAAATGACCACGCTCAAATTATCCTACTTTGGACACATTATGCTCTCCAGAAAAGGCTCTAATGCTGGAAAAGGTGGAGAGAAAGAGAAGAGGAGGATGACCAGCAGCAAAGTGGATGGACTGGTGGTGGTAATGAGTGCACCATTGAGAGATCTGAAAGAACAGGTGAGGGACAGATCATCAAGGAGGAAAGCTATCCATGTGGTTACTAAGAATCAAAAACATAATTGATCAATTAAGTTGTAAGGAACCTTGGGTTTAATACATAAGAGCTAATTTCTAATACGATTTCTTTAAATATTATTTCAAATTTCAAAAGTAAGTATGTTCACTTCCATCTGGCAACTATTTCAGACTACTTAGAAATGAAAACAGATAATAACCAATGAAGTTCCAACTAAACAATCCATACCTACCCGATGCACATCATAATGAAGCCCTCTTATTGCAAAATTCGGATCATAGTCATACTTTCGGATTTCTGCAGGATACTGACAAAATCATAAAAATAATAGTAATTTTAGTACACAATACAAGCCATATATGAAAAACATCTCAATAGATCTAGTGAGGTCCAGTTCCCTTTCTTCTACTTCTACAAAATGCCTCTCTTGTTTCCAGTTTTATCAGGAAAGCTACATCATAATCTGTAGCCACATCATGGATGGAACTTAGAAGGGGGAGAGAAAGCAAGAATACACAGCCTATAGCCCTGGAGAAAGGGTTTTGTACTCCAAAACTCCTCCACACATTACAGTTTAACTGTGTTTTTAAGACAATAGAACAAGTAAATTATTTAATTTACTAGGGGCAGTCTTAATTTATTGTAAATTCCCAAGAAACCTTTTTATCATCAGCATAATAAGTTTTTTACAGAAGCCTGTCACGACCAAGTTACCGAAACTTTGTCGCTACTCGTGGCAGGGGATATCTGTCGTTGTTGATCGCCTTATTGTCGTTATCGTGAATCTGAATATATGGCGAAGTGTCGAAAAATGTCAAATGTCTCAGTCAGATAATTATTTCAGGCGTCCATGAAGAAATAGAATGGAAATATATTATTTAAATATAAATAATTAATCTGAACTAAATTTAAGGGATTTTCTCCCTGGTACCAATACTTTAGCTTCTATCATGCTAATTAAATGCAGGTTTCACATGCCCACAATTATCCAATCAAATCTTGAGAATGCTTCTTGGGGTTTCTTAGAGCAGACATGTGAAACTCATGACGTCACGTGATGTCACGCAACATATCAGGACGGTTTTGCCATTGCCAGCAATGGGGTGGGTGCGGTTTCCGGATGACGCGTCCGGCCCATGGGCTGGCAGTTTGACACCCCTGTCTTAGAGCTTTTAAATATTTTTGCAGGAAGATATGTAGGCGACAGACTGAACTATACCTCCCTCTGATGTGAGCTCAGAGCTGAAATCACAAATCCTGGGCTACAGGACAACAAGCACGAAAGATAAAATGTTACAGGCACTTCTTTACAAGGTAGTGAAACTGGGCTTTAGCCTGTTATTTCTTAGCTTTTCAGTTCAGCTCTCCTAGTACTACTCCTTTCTTTCCTGTAATTACAACATTGCCAAATAATACAAAAAAAAGCTAAAACATATGAAAGTTTGGAAATACTGCCTAACTGATCCTCCCTCTCAGCAATATGATACGTTTCCACATATTTATTGTATTTTGTTCAAAGAACACAATTTAAATTTAGAAAAAAAAAATCCGGCTCTATTTATCCAAGGCATTACAACAGTGCTACAGAGTGCAATTAAAAGGGTTAGTTACGAAAAACGTTGGTTAATATTTCCTTCCCATTTTTCTCCTTCCCAGATATCTGTAACACTGTCTGAAAAGTTTTAATCAAAACTATCTGTTGACAAACTTTGGCCTCTACTCAAAGGCATCTATATTACAATTTTTTTAATTAGGAATTATCTATCTATCTATCTATCTATCTATCTATCTATCTATCTATCTATCTATCTATCTATCTATCTATCTATCTATCTATCTATCTATCTATCTATCAAAATAAGGCATCATGCTACCTTAAGAATCCTTAGAAGAGTAACAAAAGATTTTTTAAAAACCCTCTTAGACTCCTTTATAGTTTTACCTGTTATTTTAATTTCTACTGCATTACAAATGTGTAATCTCAGCATCTGCAGGAAGGCCAGTTCTTAAATTCAGACACCATTGCTTACTCTTTCCTTCCATTCACATTCATAATGCCTCTACAGAAGAGGAGGCTCTGTGAAAAAAAATTTCACACTTACTGTCTCTACCCAGCAGAACTTAGAAAGCTGGGGAACATTCATTAAATTGCAGTTGATCTAGTTTTATTTCACCGAACAAAACACAAGTAATTCTTGGTCATTATTTTGGTTTCATCCAATGACTAGCCTTGTAGAAATAGTTCTATTCCAGGCTTGCATTAAACCAGAGATTGCAACCAGTTGTGGGTTAAGATCCAATTTCTTATTTACTATTACAAAGATATTTATAGATATGAATATATAGCCACTGACCTTTGGACAGAAATGCAGCTCTGGGTACTGTATGCTTAACGAACTATATTGGGAACTCAGTTCACATAGAAAAAAAATGTTCCTGCCTTCATGGTATACAGAGGGTTAATATTTGTGTTTATTAATGCAATGAAGTCCTTTGGTTGGGACTGCATTCTAGGCAGCAAAATTAGCAACAATAACTCTATTTACTTTCAAACAAGGGATTTTTTTTATGATAGCATAGTTACCTATTGCACGTTACTACAGTAATTTGTTAATTGAACATTTTCATCTCCCATATAGATAGTCCTTGACATTCGTTTAGCGATTGTTCGATGTTATAAAGGCACTGAAAGTGATGGGTTTCACACTTATGGCCATCACAGCATCCCCAGCGTCACGGATAAAAATCCAGGTGCTTGGCTATCAGCATGTATTTACAGTGGTTGTGGCATCACAGGGTCATGTGATCACCCTTTGCAACCTTCTCAGCCAACTTCCAACAAGCAAAGTCAATGAGGAAGCTGGATTTTCTGAACAAACTGCATGATTCAGTTAACAACTGCAGCGATTTGCTTAACGGTGGCAAGAAAAGGCTGTAAAATTGGGGGCCACCCACTTAACAACTTTCCAACTGTGGCTATAAGTTTAGGACTACCTATATAGAATTTTCTAAAATTCTATAGTCTCAACATAATGGGTTGCCCCTGTCCAGGAAAGCCATTCCCTCCTCTGAAATCTCACAGATATACGCAAAACATCTGTACACTTCTTCTTCTATATCAGACATGTCAAACTTGTGACGTCACATGATGTCACACAACGTATCGGGACGGTTTTGCCATTGCCGGCAATGGGGTGGGCGTGGCTTCCAGATGACGCGTCCGGCCCCCGGGCCGGCAGTTTGACATCCCTGTTCTATATAGTGGAAGGTAGGGCACAATAGTCCCCTTACACTTTTGCACAAAGAAACAACTGCTGCAGGTGGAGTTTTGACCTAGAGAGCACAGGTTTGGGGGAAGAACTGTCCTGTCAACTGACATCATCCAGCTAAGTGGTATAGGTAATCCTCGACTTATGATTGTAATAAGCCTGACCATTATAGTTATGACAACTGTAAAGCAGGTCATCATGTGACCAACTTTGGGAGTTTATTGTAATTATAAGTTGAGGACTACCTGTACAGTGGAGTTAAAAATGAAATTCCTCACTCCTGAAAGATAACATAGCAAAAATAATGCCTGTCCTCAAAGCTTTTGACAAACTATTCCCCCAAAATTCATGAATTCAGGCCTATTCAGATTCTAAGGCAACCTTAGCCCTAAGTTCAGTCCAGATGTGCAGATATCAACTCTCAGAATTCACTTTGCAAGCATGGTCACTCCTGTGAATTCTGAAGTTGTGGTTTGCACATCTGGAGAGCACAACATTTGGGTAAGGGTATCCTGTAAACTGATCAATCTTAAGGATGACATCATGATTACAGACCCTTCTAAGAAATTATTATTAAATTTTTAATTCTGGATTATCTAAATTCATTCCAAAATATTGCATGTCATATGCCAAGAAAAAGCAATGACGTCAACCACTTACCAATTTAAATTCTTAAATCCACTTGAAAAAAAATCTATGCAAGTTCTGCAATGTAATTTATGTCAATACAACATAGTTTTTTCATATGCTTTTTATCCAGATTTCATTTCTTGCTATACAATTAGCTTAATTAAATATCTGAATTTCCAGTATATTATGGCACCACCCCATCCTGGTCTATCATCTTACCCGATGTTCATTGATCAAAAGGTCCCGGGCAGCATTAAAAATCAACGTATGCAAATGCTTGGAATAGAAGACCAAAGTGTAGTCATAATCAAAGCCGTAGATTTCTATGTCTGAAAGACTCATTTCATTGTTGGAAAAGATGGCATCTGGATTCAGCAAATTACTCATGATTGATGGGACTAAGTCTATGGAAGAAAAAGACACACATAAACACTTGTTCAAGAGTAAGCATTCATAAATATATATCATAAAAGGGATGCAGCTACATAAAAGGCACTTAATACTATTCTTTAGCTAACATGAGGCTAATTCTAATCTGTTCAGTAGCTCACTCAGACAATGGTCACTCAGATTTTCCCAAAGGAAGACCAGGATATAAAATATATAACAGGGAAACAAAAAGCAGGGCCATTTTCAGCTAAGCAATAAACTTGCTGCTTGCTATTTACATGGGCAATTTCATGGAATAAGCCAGATGGTGAAATTAACTCAGGATGAAGTTTTTGAACACCAAATCCATCTGTAATAAACAGACTAATCCACAACTGAAAATGAAAGTACATGGAGTCTATCACTGAAATGTGGCTGGATGAAGTGATATTATCCCCTCGCAGAGATCTGTCCTGCTGGGTTTCATGTTTTGTTCAATCCTAGTCCGAAGCCAGGGAAAATGATATGGTAATCATTTACTGGGAAATGCTAGCTGTCCTAAACAATCTTGTTCTGTAAGCCAGAAGTGAGGTCTTAATTGAGATGCTGGACCAAAGGGACAAGCTGAGAGTACAGTTATTTTACTGTCTTCCCAGTTAAATAGTGGCACCCCTCACCATCACCTATGAGATTTCACTGTGGGGTTGGCTGTTTCAACCTCCCCTCTCTTTGTTCAATGGAGCTCAGTGCGCACCATGAGTGTAGTGGGTTTGTCCCATATCATCATTGACCCAGCATGTGGCTGGCTGCACTTCTCATTTGTTCACCTTGGGATAAATGTCCCATGATTTCATTCTTGGGAACGTTCCCCTCAATCCATTTTCATGAACAGATTACTTCCTTATGCTGACAGAGTTAACTGGAGCTTAGAGGCAACAGCTTCTCTTTGAAACACAAAAGACTCTTTTTCTAGATAACCTTTGCCTGTTAAATGCTTATTGAAATGGTTTCCCCTTTTGTATTTTAAAAGTGTGTGTCTATACTTTTGTCTAGGACATCTCAGCAAGTGGTATGACCTAGGTCAGTGGTGGCGAACCTATGGCACACGTGCCAGAGGCGGCACTCAGAGCCCTCTCTGTGGGCATGCGCAACGTTGCCCCAGCAGAGTTCACCAGAGTAGTGAGCATGTGGCGTTTGGAAGCGACAGGGCAGGAAGTGAGTGAGCAAGCGGCATTGGCCCCCCGGGGATGCCCCGGAGATGGCGAGGGACTGGCCCCCGCCGCCCTGGCCCCGGCCACGCTCACCCAGTCTGCCGTGACCATTGCAGCCATGCCCACCCAGTGGGCTACGCCCCCACGCCCCCCCCTGAGGGTACCACAATGCTGATGCAGCCTTGGCACTTTGCGATAAATAAGTGGGTTTTGGGTTGCAGTTTGGGCACTCGGTCTCTAAAAGGTTCGCCATCACTGACCTAGGTGACTTTATCTTAGCTAAGGAGCTAAGCAGGGGTTTGGCCTGGGTAGGACTTGAATGGGAGTCTACCAGGAGATGTACAGTAAGAGCTTTATGCTACACCAAAAAGTTAAAAAAAAGACATCCTAGAAAAATGCAGTGGCAAACTACTTCCATAATATTGCCAATGAAACTATTGTGATAAGTCACCAGGAGTCACATTCAAAAAAGTAGTTAAAATAAAAATTCTCATTCAGGTATAAAGCTAATCTTATTCATAAAATTACTATGAAGATGAAACTGGAAGCCAATTTAGGCTATCCTGAGCTCACTGGAGGAAGTGCAAATATAAGAAATGAATTATTACATTAAATGTAATGATGCTCAGTGGTTAAATTTGAAATTCATAAATCATTTGTTGTATGGATCATAACAGACAACACTGAGACACTTGAGTATTAAATGTAATTTGTTAAAGCTATGTTGACTTCACACATTTAAAGATTCAGACCCATGCACACCACAAATGCCATATGACAAAACAACATGTGTTATTTTGTTGTATGATAAAAGTCAATTTTAACACCAATTGAACACATTGTTTGATATTTATATATAACAGAGATTGAAAAACTGAAGAGATTTCCATCTTGGTCCAATCCAAAGCTGCCTTTAGAAATGTCAAAACAGAATATCAATAGAAGGTATGTAGAAAGAAGAACTAATAGGCAGATGTTGGACAAATGAAGCAGGAAAAATTCCCACTGATTTTACCAATGTGGGATATTCTACCTTTAATTTTTACTGAGCAGTTAAAAAGTTTCTGCAGCTTTTATTTAACATTTCCTTAAATTATATAATAGTTCTATTCCATATTAACTTATATTTAAAATAATCATCTCATCTTTCTTACATTATATATTTATAAGTTATGTTACTACTTAAAGTAGATTGAAAAGCTAAATTAGACTGAGATATAAAGAGTGTATTTTATTAGAAAAAACAAATCTATAATTCTTGGAGAACAATACATGCAACAAAATGCATGGCCAAATTGTTCAACAAAGTTAGTATCAGGAAGTTACATTAAAAAGTTTTACTTTTGCCAACAATTGCAACGGCAACAAAAAAATCATGACAGATTGTCTCTAAGATTTAGACAGTCTGTTCTCTTCTGTTTAACTTTGTCATCTTTGTGGTTATCTTGACACCACATGAAGAACCTTTTGTTCATTGACCAACTTTTCAGTTCTCGTTATTTTGACCAGTATTTTAATGTTTGAACTATTTGATTCTTGTCTTTTGCTGAATTTAATATTACATCTTGTTTTGTATTTTGATTTTTATAATTCCTTATAAGTTTCCCAAAGCATTTAATGCAGCACGAAAAATGTTAAAGAAAACTAAACTACGCCATGATTTGTAGCTCACTTTCTCACTTAAAATATACCAGCACTCATCTTTCTGTCTTCTGTTTACAAAACTTGTAACTATCTTAGTAAGAAAAAATTGCTGCATAAAAATCCTTACCTAATAAGGTAAATGAAAGAATGTATTCTGGAATACTCCTCAAATCCTGAAGCTACGTAACGTAATTTGGCTTTTTAACAAAATGCATTTAGTACCTGAAACAGGCATAATTTAGCACAGCAGCATGATGCATCTGCCCTATTTAAACAAAAGTATGAAAGCATACATGTGTGGGAAGTCAGCCCCCCCAGAGAAGGAAATGTTAAAGAGGCAGAAAAGCATGCCCAGTTTTTCTTAATAGCCCCAAGTCTCCCTCCCCCAAGCAGAAACCAGCTCTGTAGAAATGCAGATGTAAATGATCCAGGAAGGTTGGAGGCCCCCAGCTAGAAGCTTAGGAAGACAAAGACACCTAAAATCTATATACCCCACCCAAACTCTAAGACAGGACATATTAGGATTAACCCACAGATGCCAAAGGGGCACATTCAGACTCAGGTCAAAGTACATGACACAGGAATTACAAAGCCTCAAACAGGAACAGGAAACAACCTCAAGAGCCCCAGAGGGTACAAAAACCCACTCCCTACATGTGCTCTCTCTCTCTCTTCTTCCAGAGCCATTTTTCTGTCTGGCTCTCCTCTTCAATAAACTGTAACCTTCTTTCTAAAGCAGTCGCCATGTTGGACTGAACCATGATGAAGACTTTTCCTTCAACACATGAAATATACTTTCTGCAACTGGAGCACAAAAAGAGAAAACTTAACCTAATATGCAGCAGCTGATTTGAAAAGCACTGTGAAAAATGTCAAACACCTTAACTCATATATTGTATTATATAAACTTATTTTAAGAGTACATTTAAAATGAAAATAATAATTAAAAATTCAGTATTGTAAATTGATCTAGAATGAAAAAGCTCTGTGGTCCAGCTTTCAATATGTAGTATGAAGCAACTTATCTTGAGAAACAAGTATATTATATTTGTACACTACACTAAACTATGGCTTGTTTTAGCACTTCTTTGTTGAATTAGCTACTACTATTCTTACTATCTGTTGGGGAAGGTTACATGAGTCTGGTTTGTAGTTCACTTTATTGGAATTCACATATTATGCTAAACCATGGATTGTTTACTCATGATTTGTGAATAAATCAAATTGTCTGATTCACACTACACACTAGTTCACAGGCCATACAGTATGACAGAACAGAAAGAGAACATTATGGTTTCATACAATGTGTGAACCCCAGATTTATCTTGGGAGTAAAATCACCCAGGAACATATTGCTAGTCCCTATAAATTTATCTAATTAGGAGGTTCTCATAACAGTGATCCATGCAACTATCACCATATGATTGGGCTATAGCAGGGGTAGGCAACCTCAGCTCTTTTATGACTCATGGACTTCAACTCCCAGAATTCCTGAGTCAGCTATGCTGACTCGGGAATTCTGAGAGTTGAAGTCCATGAGTCATAAAAGAGCCGAGGTTGCCTACCCCTGGGCTATAGCAATGGGCTGCCTTTGAAACCATGAATGAGTCACCATAATTAGATAGTAGCTATGCTCAGACCCCTACAAATGGTTGTGTATAGATTTCCAAATCCAATTAAAACTCTAACCAATAGAGACTTATACTGAGTGCCCTCAGAACTCTGCCTGTAACTGACTTGACCTACGTCTACTCCAACAAAATCCAGGAACACTTGTCCATTAGGGGGCAGGACCCCATAATCTTTTTCTCTTGTGGTCCCCTATACTGTACTGCTGAACCTCCTTTGTGAAGTTAGAGAAGGGTAATCTTCTTCCAGAAGCTAGTAAAAAGAGCCTTTCCAGACAGCATTTGAAGACCAATGAGATCCATATTCCTTTAATGCTTTATTATTTCATTGTTGGCTTGGTTTTAACACTCACATCCTGTTATAAATTACTGGGTTCCAATGCAGAATACTATATAATATATAAATGACAGAAATAAGTAAACCAATCCTCTTGAAATCTTACACGTTTATAGGCATTATCACGTATTGTAGAGCCCACTGTTTAAATTGTTATGTATTTTCTTTTGTCAAGACTTCTACTTTCAGAAAGAGATTATCTGTATCTTATAAACAGAT